GTCTGGTCTTTGGATTCTGGTCTTTGTTTAACTTGTTGTTCAACTTGTATATTAATTACCACATGCTGTTGAACTTGTTGCTGTTGTACCTGTTGTTGCTCCTGCTTGGGCTGACTTGGTTGTGGTTGCACTGGGAACAACTCTTGCTGCTGAACTTCTTGTAGAAGATACTCCTCCTTTATTTCTTCCTGTTCTTTCTGTCCCAGTTTAATTTCCACCTGTTTTCTCAGTCCCTCTTGGAGTAGGTCTTGCTGCGGCCCTTGATCTGGAGTCTCTGTTGTCTTTTGTGCAGTGGCCATTGGCCAATCTTGAAACTGACTTTCTGGTGGCGACTTTCTTCTGGTCTGCTTCACAGCTTCTGCGTAGGTGTATGGCATTGGAGGAGAAGTCGTCTTTTCTTCTTTGTAATCTTGTACCACTATCTTTGGCACAAAGGTTTTTGTATGCTTGATGTCTGACTGTTTCAAATGTTGAGGCACTGCTTTATCTTGAATAAAGACTTTTGAAGGAGGTCCTGCTGGAGGACTTCTGCTTCTGTCTCGTCTGGCACCCAGGCTGCTTAGCATACCAACTGCTTCCTAAAAGTGACATCATGCACCTTAGAAATAAAGTACTTTCAATTATACTGTTTTGTCTGGTCAGAACTTGTCTAACAAGGTTACTTCACAAAAAAAACCAACTGGCCTGTGACTGAGCAACAGCAGCTCGCACTCGATCCTGCATAGCAGAGGCATGGAGGTAGTGGAGGGGAGAGCTCTTCTGATTTGTCGATACGATCACCTGCAGGTCTTGCTCCTCTGTGACTACCTGACCTTCGAGCTGTAGACCACGGGAAATAGTGACCTGGAAAATAAAATGTTAGTTTCAAATAATCATAAATGTTTCTTTATGAAAGGATTTAAAAGCCAACACTGCTATGCAGGGATTCATCTCACCCTGGCTTGTGAGGTCTGGACCTGTTTTTGTTGCTGATCGGTGGCCCTCAGCTGGTGGTAGAGCTCCCTGGCTTCAGTCTCCCAATGTAGAAGTTCAGCCAATCGACTGTCCAGCCCAGACACACTATGTTGCAGCTCTACACAAACCTTTTCTGCCTCAGATAATGTCTGCATAACCTGGTGACAATTAAAGAAAAAATAGCAGACAGATAAACTTACTTACTAAAAAAAAAGAACAGATATAATAATTTTAATCAATTTTAATCTTCATGACCACAATCATAATAGTTCTTTTAAAAGAAGAGAAATCGTTCATACTTCTGGTACTGCAAGCTTCAGTTTCTGTAACTGATCTGCTGGGCATTCTGGGACAGAAGCCAAAGCATCCAGATCCACGTCTTTAATCTTCCTCATTATAAACTGAAGAGCAGAAATTGAGCAATAATTTAGAAAGATTTAATTTGGTTATTTAAATGAAAATAATCGTTAGAGCTGAAAAAGTGCATGACTTGCTAGTGATGCCGTTGGTCCTACCTGTAATCTTTTCCTGTAGGTGCGTAAAGGACCCGCCATAACATCCAGAGGCTCTTTGAGAATCAGTGTGCCCTCTCTGATCAAAGCTCTGATTTCCTCTGGGTTTACATGGGTAACTTCCATTGGCTCACCAATGTTTTCCTGGAAAAAACACAAATAAACATGTTAAATAACAAAGATAATTTATTAATAATTCAATGATGTAAACATTAGCAGCAGAATTTCATAAAGTTCTTGTTTACTGTATGTTAATCTACTGTGTAATTATGAAATTAACATAAGTGAAAAGAGATGGAAACTTCAAACTGTGTTGTGTCCACAGTAGATTAACATACAGTAAACAAGAACTTTATGAAAAGGACAACACTTGTTCAACGTGCAACTCCAGATATAAGAATGACATTGCACTGTACTCAAAGATTATAAGTCCAGCTACTTGCATACAATAGGTAAAGGTGGAGCACTGTTTTTAAACTTTGAGTCACTCCCTAGGGATCATTGTTTCAATAGAACAATCACATTTAAATTCCAAACGCATGAGACATTAGGCTGCCACAATCACTCCTGCCTCTAGTCGCATAATGCCAAATAAAAAGAACTAGGCCAACACTTTAGAAGAACAAAGCTATACCCTCAGATAAAAACACCCTCTGTAAAAAAATAAAAGCACAGATAAAAAGTTGATTTTAGAGTGCCATATGGTGGGTACTTTATCAAAAAATAATAATTTTAAGTAAATTCATGTCAGGAAAATATTCTGATTAATTCTCTAACAAAAAATAGCTTGTGTGATTTAGTCTTTAAACATTTCCAAATTCTTTGTCATAAAGGTGTTTTAGAATCTAAGCACACAAATCGGGTTTTCCTTGATCTTTGACTCACCAAAGTGTTTTTCTTGACAAACTCAGCCCACTGCATGTTGACTTTTCGAAGCTCCTCTGCCAGGCTCCTGCTGGTCTGAGGATCTGTTGACTCAATCAGGAAGTTCCCCACCTCATTCAGGTGGGCCTGACGAGATCCCCACTCAGCCATGGATGCGGAGGTCAGCTTAATAGAAATGTTTGTAAATAAAATGAAATATATCATCTATAAGGATAATGTAGATATTATTTTATTTAGATGTTATTATTGCAGACTTTTTACTTGACTTGTTATTCCAAGTCATAACAGACTGATCCCCTATTACAAAGCATGTTATACAAGCTTGTTTATGACATATTTATTATCGTTGAGCAATACAGTTATAATACTTTAATGAGTTAATCATACCTCAGGTCTGTGGCTGTGCGTTGCAGAGCACTGTTCAAGCCAAGCCTGCAGGGAACTAAGGGAGTCGCTGTACGAGTCCCAGGCAGACAGAACCCGTCCCATTGTGCTTTTCACTGTGGTCACGTCCTCTAAAACGACAGCAGTGTCCTCCTCCAGCTGCTTCACCTGCTGACTGACATGCTGATAATCTGAAGCTACGGAGCAAAGAAATAATATGAAATAAAATAATACACTTTTACTCTAATGGGGAATCAAAAACATTAATTAATATAAATAAAGAAATACAAAATATCTGTTACAGAGTATCACAGTACTTACCAAGGGCAGATTTGTTTGAATATTTCTCAGAAATCTGCTTCAGCTTACGAATAGCTGTTTCCAACATGGAAGGCAGCTCTTGTGTGTATACGAGTTCCTGAGTTTAAAAAAATGAATACAAATTAAAACTGTCAGTCAACACTAACACCCATGCCCTTTACACAGTAGAAGGAACATTTTTGGATAAACTAGTGAAGAAGTCACCACTAGAACCAGAGGGAAAACCCTGATAAAAAAACATTTACAATAGCCCATTTTGGACATCTTCACTGTATATCACAGACTGTATATACAAGATGGACACACCCAACATGACACATCCATTGGTTTCCAAAGTTCAAATGTCAGGGCTTGAGATGTGAATTTTCCCTGATGCTATCTTGACATGTCAAAACCAAATTTGAGACACCGATGGGCACGTCCCATGTTCAGTAGTGATTTGCAAATCACAAGCTAGGCCTGCAATAAAACACACCCTACCATAATTTATGAATATAGTATAGTACTGTAGAAATGTTTAGCTGATTTAGAGTTGAGAAATGGGTTAACATAGAATCTAGAATTATTGTAGAGACACTGACACTGCCCTCAATGTAATAAAGGCCTGATTGTGTCATGAACTTAGGAGTAGAGTTTAGGAGACCCTCCCCAGTTAGACTGTGAAAGTAAGACAAAGGGGAGTTGATGCTGAGTGGAAATTCCCCAGAGGATATCTGTAACTGGATAACTGCGGTCTGGAAGGGAGATGGGTTTTATGACCTCTAGGGAGTCACCTACACCCACAGTGTTTTAACTGTCACGCACACTCACTCACGTGCACACACATACACACAGGTATGCGTACACAGTCACTCACGAGCACTCACATAGACACGCGGGAATGTGCACATGTAGGCATTCACATGCTCGTGCACATAGACACAGACACAGAGTTTGCAGCACACCGTGGGGGGGTTTTATGATAGGGTCGCCCCTACAAAACTTTGTTTCACAGACAAAGGAGTGAAGATTTTGCAGAGGG